CGTCGTCGTCGTCATCATCATCATCGATTAATTATGAACGTGTTAAATTTGTATCGAAACTATGGAATAGTGACGATGATGACGAGGATGGTGGTGTTAACCACCATAACTACCAAAGATATAATAAGAATTAAAATATTCATCTTCATCATCATCATCATCATCATTGCAACTTCGTGACGTCATTTTAGACACTTCACAATTATCGTTGTCTTCTTTGTTATATCTATACCCATACATGTGTATATGTATACGTGTGTATGTGTGCGTGTGTGTCTGTGTGTGTGTGTGTGTGTGTGTGTGTTTATGTAGCAAGATGTATATTTTGAATTTTATTTTACACATATTTTTACACTCGCCACTCGTAAATAAATACATAAACGTCACAGGATATTTTATTATATATATATATATATATATATATATATATATATATATATATATATATATATATTTATTTATTTATTAATATTTATTAATACATCCAATATATTAATCTAGTCTATATATATATATATATATATATATATATATATATATATATATATATATATATATATAATTTTTGCGTTAATGTATGATGCACAGCACACACTGCATGTATATAGGTGTTAAGGTGGGTTAATTTCAAAGAATTTAATTTTGATGTAATTTGTGATTTAAGTTAGTTTTAAGTTTTTGTTTGACCTTATATCTTTTTCGTTATCAGTCTTTCTATCTCTGTCTTTCTCTCTCTCTCTCTCTCTCTCTCTCCTCTCTTTCTCTTTCTTTCTCTGGGTGTTTTTTTCTCTTTTTATCTCAAATTTGAAATGATTGTTCCTGCTATATCCATTATTTATTGTCGTCAGTTTTTAAATGTAGAACTTAACTTTGAATATTTAATTCCTCCATTCAACTCCTTAATTAAAGAGAATACTATCAATAGTCAATAAATCAACGATGGTCTTTTTCGCGATTTTATAAATAATTTGTTTTTAATCAATTTTTTCTGTTATATATTTTAATTTTTATTATTTATTTTTGGCAAGCACTTTTTGTTAGCATATTTAAAAGTATTTAACAGATATTATATATATTTGGTTCATAATCCAGTCAGCAAGATTGTTTACTCACTTTTCCATTAATTTTGGCTTGCTGTCTTCTTTTTTAATGTTTTATAATAAATTTTATTTCAAAAATACTTTTTTTGCGTTTTTATACAAATTTTTTACAGATATATATACATACATATGTAGAAAGAAAGAGTGAGGGAAAGAGAGATAGAAAACCGTTAGTCTATTATACCGAATACAATGTTATACATAGAAAAATAAAATATCAGAATAAATATCTTAGACCGTTGTATAGTTCTATGTTTGTTTACATAGCGATATATAGTGTAGTCATGCGGGTGTGTGATTATGACTGTTTGTTTTATTTTAGCCATATTTATTTGTAAAAATAGATGATAAAAATCGGCATAGTATAATATTAACTCGTTGTATTTTTAGAAATTAGAGACAAAATTAAATTTTGTAAAAAAATGTCGGAGAAATTATTGAACGATGTGGAAATCGAAGATGGCGAAATTGGGAAGGAAGATAAGGATGGCGTTGATAACGACTCTTCATCATCTAATAATACTAATAACCTCACTATTGACGGATTTCAAGGTTAGTGTCAGTTAGGATAATGTGGTAAAACCTTAGTTAGTCAGTTAGGATTATGTTTCAGTTAGGACAGGATCTGGCCTTAATTATTTTTATATTTTTGTCTAAATCTAAAACTAAAGTTTTTTTACTTACCAACTTATAATTATTACTATGTATAATAAAATTTTAAATAATAAATAATGCAATAAAACTAAATAAAATAACTAAATTAATATTATTTATTTGTCCATTAAAATATTCTTCTATTTTATATTATATTACAATTATATTATTTTTAATAATCTTTTTCTAAATTCTAATTGTCCTTGCACAGTTACTACTACTTCGAATGAGAATGAGACTACTACTGCTATTAGTGGGGCTACTACTGGTACTGCTTTTGCAGCTACTGCTACTACCACTGCTGCTGCTACTACTACAACAAATACTACTGTTGCTGCTGCAGCTACTGCTACTACCACTACAACCATGGAGGATCAGTATGACATTAGCATCATTAGAAACATGAAGATGGAACATGTAGGAAGCGGCGAATGTACAGACAACAAATGGAACAACAACAACAACAATGATACTAATAATAACAACAACAACAATAATAATAACAACAATAATAACAATGATAATTCTACTTCTAATGGAAAGCCAAATTTCAGTTCCCAGCAATGCTGGACAACCAATGATTGTAAAATAGACTTCGACATCACCTCAGTTGATAATGATAACGATGTTAGTGTATTATTATTATTGTTATTATTTAGTTATAGTAATGTTTATGAGCTATTATTCTACCTAATTCTCATTAAATTACATATAGATATAATAATAATAGTAATAATAATAAATAATCACAATAATAATTTTTTTCTTTCAGATATTTTCAATTCATCGAGTAAAAGACAGCAGTAGTAGTAGTGATAGTAGTAGTAGTAGTGATGACAATGGTGGTAATGATCGCAGAAATGATGATTATGATAGCGATGATGATAATGATGAAGGGTAAGTGGAGTCTTGTCATTCATTATTTCAAATTTTTTACTTACCTGATGACAGATATCTAATCATAATAATAAAAATAACAAATTATAATTTGTTAATTAGCTAGTCAGTTAATTAGTATTATAATTTATTCATAAAAACTCTGGCAGAAATAAAGAACCGCCCACAATAAGAAGGCCAAAATTGAGAACTAAAGGAGAACTAACATTGGAGGTTAATTTTGGTTACTGGGTGGAGTTATGTTAATTAATCAGCCAATCATTTATGAATTAGATCAATCAACTAATTTTTGTCTATCTTTCTCTCTATCTATCTATCATTTATCTATTTATTTATTAATTCAATAATCTATCATTTGTTCATTCATTTATTTATTCATCCATTCATTCATTCAATCAATCGATCAGGACCTGCCAGCCATAGAGTATTTGCAGATCTCAGTGGCTCCCGACATACAACTGGTTGAGATTGGCACCATCACCAGTGTTGTCGACGTCTTGGGTGAATAATTGATGTTGTTGTCGTTGTTGTTGTTGTTGTCGTCGTTGTTGTTGTTTTTACGGTTATAGTTGATGTTACTGCCATCCAATCAAATTCGATTTGTAGATATTGAGTCAGTTTTTTAATATTTATGGATGTTTCATCATCCAATCGAATTAGAGTCATGGCATCTTGTTCATCAGCTAATTAATATTCATGGATGTTGTTGCCATCCAATCAGATTTAAGTCGTGGCTATTTAATTAAGTGATTAATATTCATTAACCTAGTTGTCATCCGTTCCTATCTGGGTTCTCCAGCACTTGACGCCGATTCTATTCTGTTTTTCAGTAACAAGAAAGTTTTGGGGCAGGTTGTATCATTAATAAGTTATGTTAATGTTAATCGCTCAATAATGATCATAACTATTATTATTATACATTATTCATTCATTTATTTTATCTATCCATCATTCATTCATTCGTTCATGCATATACTTAGATAAGATGCATTAAATCACTTAGTTTGTTCATCAGTCATTCATTCCTTCATTCATTTACTCATTCTTTATCCATCCATTCATCTATTCTTTCATTCATTAATTCTTTCATTCATTCATTCATTTCCAGGTGTTTGAAACGTTTGGACAAGTGAAGCAGCCGTACTACAGCGTTCGATTCAATAGCAACTCTGACATCAATGACGTCATGAATAACAATAACAACAACAACAATAATAATAATAGTACCAATAAAAACAATATTAACAACAGCAATAACAATGATAATAGAAAGGATGATGAAATACACACAGAAGAGCCATCAACAACAACATCGTCAGCGCTCCCAGAGAAATTTGGGGTAGGTTCAAAGGTTTTCTACGCCCCAGATATGCCGGAATGGACCAAATACGTATTCCATGAACAACTTCAGCTGTTAGATATGCTTCTTAATTCATTCATTTTTTCGTCTTTTCACTCTTTCGTTCGTCCCGTTTGTTCTTTTATTAACGGTATTTCGTTCGTTCTATTGATTCGTTCATCATTCGTTCACACTTAGATATTTTTTTGTTGATTCATTTTACATGTTCGTCATTCTTTTACAAACTCTTCTGTTCATCCATTCCATTCTTATACACATTTCTAGAATAATTCTGCAATACGTCTATCCATCCATTCATTGCTTCATTCTCTTCTTTCTATCCAAGGTCAAAAGGGTCAGATGCTTCTTGGGTCAATAATAACGAGCCGCCAGTTGAGGTTATGATGATGATTATAGTGGTGGTGATTATGATAATGATGATGATGAGGATGGTGATGATGAATGTTGAGATGATGGTCACAGAGTTAGTTAGCTCAGTCGGTAGGAGAGCCATGTCTCGAGCTGCTATTACGTGATGGCATGGTTCAATTACTGCCTGTCCGAAACTGAAAGATCATCATAGGCGTATGTGCATACTACATAATGTGTGTGTGTGTGTGTGTGCATGTGAGGTGGATAATACAGCCTTTGTGGTACGAAAGTTTTGTCATAAAACAAAATGCTGATGATGATAATTATTTTATCATCATCGTCGTCGTCGCCATTCACCGTAGCCACTACTAACTTGAAACCACCATCATTTCATCATTGTCGTCATCATCATCATTCCATCATTATCATCCTATCATCATCATTGTCATCATTCCATCATCATTCCTTCATCATCAGTTACAAGAATTCTCGGACGACGACGAGGAACGTAAGGCGAGACAGGCCAGCAAGCACATGAGGAAGCGAACGCAGCAACAACGGCGCAGCCACAAAAATTGCGACGACAACGACATTGATAATGATGACGACGACGACGATGATAACGATGCTGACTGTATCGTCGGTAATGATAATGATTGCGGTGCGGTTGAAGATGATGATGACGATGATGTTGATGTTACTGAAAACAAAAACAACAATTGTGATGGGAGCAAATTGCAAACAGTCAAAACTAAGAAAAAGAGATTTAAAAAGAAAAATAACAACAACAACAATAATGATAATAACAACAACAACAATAATGATAATAATAACAATAATATTAACGACGCTGATAGTGATCTAACTTGTTGGCCTCCGAAATCAAAGTTCTTCAACATTGACATGAATAGGACTTCCAATGCTAACAATAGAAACATCGTGAATAATTGTAATAAGAATAAGAAGAACAACAATAAGAAGAACAATAATAATAGTAATAATAATAATAGTGCTTTTTCATCTTGGCCACCAGGGTCTAGTAAAGATATTAATAAGAATTGGTTTGATAAAAAATGTAATAATGATAATTCTTTCTTAGGCAAGCAACAGCAGCAGTACCTACCATCGCGGTTCACATCGCCGCCACCAGCGCTCCCGCCAATAAGCTTTCCACCAATTACGTGGCCTGCAACGCAACCACAACATCAAATGTTTCCGCAACAACCAGCGATTTTCCTACAACAACCACAACAACATCATCCACTAATATTCCAACAACAACATTATTTTTTTCCGCAGCAGCTACAACCATTTCCGCAGCAGCTACAACTACAACAGCAGCAGTACCTAGGACACCAACAACAGCAGCAGTTTGACGTCACAAAGCCCCCACCGCCCGCGCACCTTTTTCAACAACTTCAACTACTTTCAACGATCCAGCAACAAGAGAGCATGATTGCCTCATTGCGGAAACAAATATCATCATCATCAGTACTGCCGCCGCAATCATCATCATCTGGAAATAATGATAATGATCCTAACTCAGTTCAACGCAACTTTGGCAACAGCATACTATAGTGGTGATTTAATTGGCCTGTGAATTTAA